TTTTTTTTTTTTTTTTTTTTTTTTTTTTTTAATTTAGCTATCTCCAAAAATGAATGATCGTGAAGTCAAGCTGGCCCCCTCTTTGCCAAAGTGGCATTTACCACTCTCGGGTTCTTTTCAGCGAGAGAGAAATAATGTGACTTAAGCAGGGCCCCTCTCCAGACGGCTTGGCTACTGGCCAAAGAGTTGACTAGCTGAACTGTATCTTTCTGTTTCTTTCTCAACTGGAGCTGAGGCTCAGCTGAGGGCGCAGGATGTTGTATAATTTGGTTCTCGTTGTTAGCCTCTCAAAATAATGAGGAGGAGGATAGTGTAGCATTTCTCAGCCTGCTGCCCGTCATGGTGCTGGCTGCTTTAACTGTTCTTAAACTAGGATGCTGTGTCTGCTTAAGTTGGCACCAGCCGCTCCTCCTAACTTCTCCAGACTTGCATTTGTGTGACTGGGGGAACAACTCCTAAAGATTTGATACGGCCTGTTGGTTAAATCCAAATTAAATTTCTCTTTTGAGATTTTTTGCAACATCCCTTGAGATAAAAATGGGAGTCCCCATAGGGTGTTGTGGAACCAGGATTGGGACTCACTGATCCTCACACAAGGCTGGGATGTGAGAATGTTGCTAGTCTCTCTTCCTTGGAATTATTTTAGGAGTACCTTCCCATTTTTAACAATATCAACAATTAGTGTGTTTCAGGCTAAGATTAAAAGCATCTCCAGGGCCATAGAGAACTGTAATGAGTTGACCTTCTCTTTTTTGATATCCCTATGAAATGATTGCCTGTTTAGAAAGTTCACCTGCCACCCAGGGGAGAATAGAACGATGGGATTTAGGAAGCAGAAAAGTTTCCCTTAGGTCACCTTGTCCAAGGCCCTCACTTAACAAATGAGGAAACAGAGGCACAGAGATGAAATAGCTTGCCCCAAACCACAGCTGGTGACAGATTGGAGAGTTCAGAAGAGGTTTGCTGAGGTTCCTTAGAATGTAGGGATCCTCATTCTCAAGCTTGAATTGGTGCAGATTTCTCTGCTTTGGAGATCGGATTTAAAATTCTTAGAACCGAATGAAATGGCAGAAAGACCAATTCGACAAATATTTATTGGGCACCAGCCACCAGATGAACCAGGCACCAATTCTAGGCACAGGGAATATTATAGATCGGTGAGGGCTTAGGCCTGTGGGGTGGAGGGCGGGGGGCAGGGAAGGCTGGAGGTGAACCATAAATAAGCAATTGCTAACGTCCTCCTCCACGATTAAACATTGATGTTGGTGTTGTATTATTTTGCAGGTAAAGATGAGCCCAGCAGCTACACATGTACAACTTGCAAACAGCCATTCACCAGTGCATGGTTTCTCTTGCAACACGCACAGAACACTCATGGATTAAGAATCTACTTAGAAAGCGAACACGGAAGTCCCCTGACCCCGCGGGTTGGTATCCCTTCAGGACTAGGTGCAGAATGTCCTTCCCAGCCACCTCTCCATGGGATTCATATTGCAGACAATAACCCCTTTAACCTGCTAAGAATACCAGGATCAGTATCGAGAGAGGCTTCCGGCCTGGCAGAAGGGCGCTTTCCACCCACTCCCCCCCTGTTTAGTCCACCACCGAGACATCACTTGGACCCCCACCGCATAGAGCGCCTGGGGGCGGAAGAGATGGCCCTGGCCACCCATCACCCGAGTGCCTTTGACAGGGTGCTGCGGTTGAATCCAATGGCTATGGAGCCTCCCGCCATGGATTTCTCTAGGAGACTTAGAGAGCTGGCAGGGAACACGTCTAGCCCACCGCTGTCCCCAGGCCGGCCCAGCCCTATGCAAAGGTTACTGCAACCATTCCAGCCAGGTAGCAAGCCACCCTTCCTGGCGACGCCCCCCCTCCCTCCTCTGCAATCCGCCCCTCCTCCCTCCCAGCCCCCGGTCAAGTCCAAGTCATGCGAGTTCTGCGGCAAGACGTTCAAATTTCAGAGCAACCTCGTGGTGCACCGGCGCAGCCACACGGGCGAGAAGCCCTACAAGTGCAACCTGTGCGACCACGCGTGCACGCAGGCCAGCAAGCTGAAGCGCCACATGAAGACGCACATGCACAAGTCATCCCCCATGACGGTCAAGTCCGACGACGGCCTCTCCACCGCCAGCTCCCCGGAACCCGGCACCAGCGACCTGGTGGGCAGCGCCAGCAGCGCGCTCAAGTCTGTGGTGGCCAAGTTCAAGAGCGAGAACGACCCCAACCTGATCCCGGAGAATGGGGACGAGGAGGAAGAGGAGGACGACGAGGAAGAGGAAGAAGAGGAGGAAGAGGAGGAGGAGGAGCTGACGGAGAGCGAGAGGGTGGACTACGGCTTCGGGCTGAGCCTGGAGGCGGCGCGCCACCACGAGAACAGCTCGCGGGGCGCGGTGGTGGGCGTGGGCGACGAGGGCCGCGCCCTGCCTGATGTCATGCAGGGCATGGTGCTCAGCTCCATGCAGCACTTCAGCGAGGCCTTCCACCAGGTCCTGGGCGAGAAACACAAGCGCGGCCACCTGGCCGAGGCCGAGGGCCACAGGGACACTTGCGACGAAGACTCGGTGGCCGGCGAGTCGGACCGCATAGACGATGGCACTGTTAACGGCCGCGGCTGCTCCCCGGGCGAGTCGGCCTCGGGGGGCCTGTCCAAAAAGCTGCTGCTGGGCAGCCCCAGCTCGCTGAGCCCCTTCTCCAAGCGCATCAAGCTCGAGAAGGAGTTCGACTTGCCCCCGGCCGCGATGCCCAACACGGAGAACGTGTACTCGCAGTGGCTCGCTGGCTACGCGGCCTCCAGGCAGCTCAAAGATCCCTTCCTTAGCTTCGGAGACTCCAGACAATCGCCTTTCGCCTCCTCGTCGGAGCACTCCTCGGAGAACGGGAGCTTGCGCTTCTCCACGCCGCCCGGGGAGCTGGACGGAGGGATCTCGGGGCGCAGCGGCACGGGAAGTGGAGGGAGCACGCCCCATATTAGTGGTCCGGGCCCGGGCAGGCCCAGCTCAAAAGAGGGCAGACGCAGCGACACTTGTGAGTACTGTGGGAAAGTCTTCAAGAACTGTAGCAATCTCACTGTCCACAGGAGAAGCCACACGGGCGAAAGGCCTTATAAATGCGAGCTGTGCAACTATGCCTGTGCCCAGAGTAGCAAGCTCACCAGGCACATGAAAACGCATGGCCAGGTGGGGAAGGACGTTTACAAATGTGAAATTTGTAAGATGCCTTTTAGCGTGTACAGTACCCTGGAGAAACACATGAAAAAATGGCACAGTGATCGAGTGTTGAATAATGATATAAAAACTGAATAGAGGTATATTAATACCCCTCCCTCACTCCCACCTGACACCTCCTTTTTTCACCACCCCCCCTTCCCCATCGCCCTCCAGCCCCACTCCCTGTAGGATTTTTTTCTAGTCCCATGTGATTAAACAAACAAACAAACAGAAGTAACGGAAGCTAAGAATATGAGAGTGCTTGTCACCAGCACACCTGTTTTTTTTTTTCTTTTTCTTTTTTTCTTTTTCTTTTTTTCCTTTATGTTCTCACCGTTTGAATGCATGATCTGTATGGGGCAATACTATTGCATTTTACGCAAACTTTGAGCCTTTCTCTTGTGCAATAATTTACATGTTGTGTATGTTTTTTTTTTTTTTAAACTTAGACAGCATGTATGGTATGTTATGGCTATTTTAAATTGTCCCCGATTCGTTGCTGAGCAAACATGTTGCTGTTTCCAGTTCCGTTCTGAGAGAAAAAGAGAGAGAGAGAGAAAAAGACCATGCTGCATACATTCTGTAATACATATCATGTACAGTTTTATTTTATAACGTGAGGAGGAAAAACAGTCTTTGGGTTAACCCTCTAAAGACAGAATAGACAGCACTGAAAGAAAATCTCTATGAGCTAAATGTCTGTCTCTAGAGGGTTAAATGTATCAATTGGAGAGGAAAAAAAAAGGCCTTGAATTGACAAATTTTAACAGAAAAACAAAACAAGTTTATTCTATCATTTGGTTTTAAAATATGAGTGCCTTGGATCTATTAAAACCACGTTGATGGTTCTTTCTACTTGTTATAAACTTGTAGCTTAATTCAGCATTGGGTGAGGTAAGAAATCTTAGGACCTAGCATATAATTCTATATTGTATTTCTCACAACAATGGCTACCTAAAAATATGACCCACTATGTCCTAGTTAATCATCATTTTCCCTTTAGTTTAATCTTATAAGCAAAACTGATTATACCAGTATAAACGCTATTTTGCTCCTGGTGAGAGCTTAAAAGAAATGGGCTGTTTTGCCCAAAGTTTTATTTTTTTTTTTAAATGATGATTAAATTGAATGTGCAACGTGCAAAAGCCCCGGAATACAATTAAAAACATTAGTAAGGAGTTCATTTTATGAAGATAACTTAAATAATGTCTGTTCAAAAAATTCTGGCACCAAAAGAAATAGATCCAGATCTACTTGGTTGTCAAAGGGACAATCAAATGATAAACTTTAAGACCTCGTAGACCATATTGAAAAGAAGAGACTGACAATACGGTTTGACAGGAGGGTAACAGAGGAAGAAAATACGTTATCTTTTAGCACAACGTGGTACTATTTGCCATTTTAAACTAGAACAGGTGTATAAGCTAATATTGATACAATGATGATTAACTATGAATTCTTAAGACTTGTGTTTAAATGTGACATTCTTAAAAAAGAAGAGAAAGAATTTTAAGAGTAGCAGTATATATGTCTGTGCTCCCTAAAAGTTGTACTTCCTTTCTTTTCCATACACTGTGTGCTATTTGTGTTAACATGGAAGAGGATTCATTGTTTTTATTTTATTTTTTTAATTTTTTCTTTTTTATTAAGCTAGCATCTGCCCCAGTTGGTGTTCAAATAGCACTTGACTCTGCCTGTAATATCTGTATCTTTTCTCTAATCAGAGATACAGAGGTTGAGTATAAAATAAACCTGCTCAGATAGGACAATTAAGTGCACTGTACAATTTTCCCAGTTTACAGGTCTATACTTAAGGGAAAAGTTGCAAGAATGCTGAAAAAAAAAAAAAATTGAACACAATCTCATTGATGAGCATTTTTAAAAAAAAAAAAACTAAAAAAAAAAAAAACTTTGCCAGCCATTTACTTGACTAATGAGCTTACTTACTCGGACTCAACATTGCAAGCGCTGTGAATGGAAAACAGAATACACTTAACATAGAAATGAATGATTGCTTTCGCTTCTACAGTGCAAGGATTTTTTTGTACAAAACTTTTTTAAATATAAATGTTAAGAAAAAAAATTTTTTTAAAAAACACTTCATTATGTTTAGGGGGGAACTGCATTTTAGGGTTCCATTGTCTTGGTGGTGTTACAAGACTTGTTATCCATTTAAAAATGGTAGTGGAAATTCTATGCCTTGGATACACACCGCTCTTCAGGTTGTAAAAAAAAAAAAAACATACATTGGGGAAAGGTTTAAGATTATATAGTACTTAAATATAGGAAAATGCACACTCATGTTGATTCCTATGCTAAAACACATTTATGGTCTTTTTTCTGTATTTCTAGAATGGTATTTGAATTAAATGTTCATCTAGTGTTAGGCACTATAGTATTTATATTGAAGCTTGTATTTTTAATTGTTGCTTGTTCTCTTAAAAGGTATCAATGTACCTTTTTTGGTAGTGGAAAAAAAAAAAGACAGGCTGCCACAGTATATTTTTTTAATTTGGCAGGATAATATAGTGCAAATTATTTGTATGCTTCAAAAAAAAAAAAAAAAGAGAGACAAACAAAAAAGTGTGACATTGTACAGATGAGAAGCCATATAATGGCGGTTTGGGGGAGCCTGCTAGAATGTCACACGGATGGCTGTCATAGGGGTTGTACATATCCTTTTTCGTTCCTTTTTCCTGCTGCCATACTGTATGCAGTACTGCAAGCTAATAACGTTGGTTTGTTATGTAGTGTGCTTTTTGTCCCTTTCCTTCTATCACCCTACATTCCAGCATCTTACCTTCATATGCAGTAAAAGAAAGAAAGAAAAAAAAGGAAAAAAAAAAACAAAAACAATGTTTTGCAGTTTTTTTCATTGCCAAAAACTAAATGGTGCTTTATATTTAGATTGGAAAGAATTTCATATGCAAAGCATATTAAAGAGAAAGCCCGCTTTAGTCAATACTTTTTTGTAAATGGCAATGCAGAATATTTTGTTATTGGCCTTTTCTATTCCTGTAATGAAAGCTGTTTGTCGTAACTTGAAATTTTATCTTTTACTATGGGAGTCACTATTTATTATTGCTTATGTGCCCTGTTCAAAACAGAGGCACTTAATTTGATCTTTTATTTTTCTTTGTTTTTATTTTTTTTTTTATTTGGATGACCAAAGGTCATTACAACCTGGCTTTTTATTGTATTTGTTTCTGGTCTTTGTTAAGTTCTATTGGAAAAACCACTGTCTGTGTTTTTTTGGCAGTTGTCTGCATTAACCTGTTCATACACCCATTTTGTCCCTTTATTGAAAAAAATAAAAAAAATTAAAGTACACAATGTAAGCTTCTTGTGTCCTCATTTGACACACTCTGTAAATTACTTTCAAGAAAATAACAGGTTTTAAGAGAAGGCCAGTCAGTCTTTTTCAGGATTATTTCTATGGGCATTTTGATGCGTGCATTATACCCTAAAGGAACATAAAGTGCTTACTATATTAAAATAGACATATCTCAAAACATGGAAATAGTTTTTAGATTTTATAGTTCTAGAATAATTTTCAAGAAATGGAAAGTGTTTTCAGTCTGATGTTAAAAACTTTCCCTTCATGTCTTAACAATAATCCATCCAGATATAAATGAAAAATTGACTGGTAATAGCATCTTAAACTTTTATTTCCTTTGGATTTTTTGCTGTTCTTGTTGTCTGAAAGTTCTTTTCTATTCTCCCTCCCCTGCCCTATCTTAGAACATAATGTAAAAAAAGATTTTTTAAAAAGTTAGCTCTTTCATTTCCATATGAGTCTTTCTTCATACCAAAAATAACATCACCCTCCCCCCCCCATAAATATCCAGAAACAAAGGCATCATGTTAACGAGAGAAAGAGAGAGAGAAGTAACCAGTAGTTCAGCCAGATGTGGCAAATCTGTGGAATCAGCCACTGATTTCCTGAGATATATGGTGGTTTGCCTTGTGATCCTGTGATCTTAGGGACCAGAGATGGGACAGATCTTTTAGAACTTTTTATAGTGTCTTCCTGACTGGTAGCAAATGAGAGGGGGGAATATGCTTCAGTGATCTTTTGCCCAACCAACAGATTTATGAATGAAACATAGCCTTTGAAAAGCAACTTAGGTCCATTATAAAAACCCCTCCTTAGAAATCTGTGTTGTCAGTTTTACAAATACTGCATGCTGCAGCATCTATTTGCTTTATTAAAACACATACTTCTGTGATACTGTCTCCCTGTTCCCAGTGTAGATGAATGGATACAACGTTGTTCTTCTTTTTGTAAAAACCAAAACAAAAGCCGTTCTGTTGTCTTCTTGTGGTAGCATTTTCGTTGCTCAGTTCTTATGCCCTGGTGCCTGTGAGGTGGCCTTTTCATGTAATGCCTTTTATCTGAGACAGGAATAGTTTTATCCTTCTAAAATACACAGAAAGTAGGTGTATTTTTTTAAAAGCCAGTTTGGGTGGGAAGCAGAGAGTGGAGGCAGAGAGGAATCCCGTGAGAGAAGATTTGGGGTTGGGTACAGGGGCTGGGATCAGATGGATGTATCTTGCAGAACTTGATAATTGGCAGTGACCTGAGAGGAGATATTTGTGTTTTGAATTAGGTTACTTCACAACTGAATCCAGAATGCTATTTAAGATAGAAATATTCTCCAGTGCCATGCCAGTTTGCGATGTGGTGACTTCTGCTCCACCGTATTAAATGTCCATAAAACCACTGTGTGTCCCTATTACTCTTTTATTAGGAGCTATGAGTGCAGCTGTGCAAGTTTTATATACAGTGTTCATTTTAATTTTTCAATATATGATGCTCTTAGCATAATTAGGTTTTGCATCCTGACAGACAGAATTAATGGTAGATACTGTATACTTACTTGTATGTTCAAATTTCTTAAATCAAATGGGGAATGGGGAGGGGTGCAAACATGTGGTGATAAATCACAGATTATGTTTGATTTACATGGTCCCAAAGTTAAATAAATTTATCGGGAGACACGTTCTTCAGGGTACTCAGTCTCCTGGCTTATTGAAGCCCTCTTATAAAATATGATTTCTGAAGCTGAGTGAACAATACGAGCATGAAAATCTAGGCAATAAAAATATAACTTATAACTGACATCTGTATCTGGAACCCCCGAATTAAAAGTCTTAATGCAAAATAACAAAAAACATTTCCAACAGAGGATGAATTCGAGATTTTTTTAAAATGAGGAAATGCTGAGGATATTAACAGTTTTCAGAATTCTCAAGTTTATGCGACACCCCAGATGTGTTGATGCAATGTTCTTTACCCACCTGAACTCTTAACGCGTCAATGTTCCTTTTTATCTTCATTTTGAGAACAGCTTCATAATAAACAGGAGTACAGCAAATACTATTTCTCACAGATTTTAACTTAGAAACCCTCCCAGTGCGTGGGCTCTCCCCATCCTGAGACCATTTCCTATCTTCTCTTTGTTTAGGACCCTACAAAAGGACCGAAGCCAAATCATTGCAAAGGTGGCTAAGAAGTGGGGTGAACACTTGTTTCTTCATTTGTACCAGCCGTGGCAGGAAGTGTGGAGTAGTTGAGTTTTTCCCAGGGCATTCTGTGCTAGAACTGTTTATTTAAATACCATTTTTGTGTGTGTAATAAGTCCATACTGTATACGTTCATGATGCTGGAAGTGAGGATTTGAAAGGCAGTGGCAGTGGGAGTTAGATACCGTTTCATTTGGAGAAATAAGGAAATGAGGTTTATTCACAGACACTAAAAGTTTGTTCAAAGGTGCTGGGATATTTCAGGCTTTCCTGAAAAGGAGTTGAGGAGCCTCAGGCCCCATCCTGTCCTGCTTCGAACACTTCAGAGTGAGAGGGAGGAAATACGGTGTTTTCTTTCTTTCTTCTTTCTTTCTTTCTTTCTTTCTTTCTTTCTTTCTTTCTTTCTTCCTCTTTCCCCTGCTCCGCGCGTGCACACACTAACATGAGTTCTTAGGACTGTGTTGTAGTCGTGTTCTCTTCATTAAGATTCTGTTACTCCATCGTCCCTGGGCCTGGTGTGTTCAAGAATGTACCCATCCCATTCTCTTTTCTTTTTCAGACAACTTCCCATTTAAAACAAAAAAAAAAAAAAAAAAAAGAGAGAAAGAAACGAAAGAAATGTGGGAATTTTGCCAGTGTGAGGATGGGATTGGCAGTGTTCTTTAAACCTGCTTGGAAAAATATTTTTTAAAAGACCGTTAACTTTTTAACAGGCACGAGGCACTTAGCAAATTTTCCTAAGTGTCTCCTAAGGCCCTGCCGCTTTCCCAATTAAAACTAAATGAACCCATGTTTAGAGCAACGGACATCGGAACACACAGCCAGAATTGGGATTCTGGACGTTTATTCCAGGGCTGCTCTAGCTACAAATTGTAGACATGGGTTGTTGGGTGTGCACTTTTCCTTGCTGTCATCTTGTTATCCCATTAGCCCTCTGTTTCATTGAGTAAAACACATGGCCAGTGAATCAGCCTTTAGGGGGGATGGGTCTGTTTCTCTCTCTCTCTCTATTTCCCAGTGTCATCTGTGGTCGTGGGAAGCGATTAATTCCTCCCTTCCAAAAGGGGAAAGGAGATCAGTACAGTTCACCTGGGTCATTTGTACTCAAGATCCTAAACTTGCCTGAACAACTCCAACGGTTGATCCAAATACTGTTTTTCCTTTCTGTAAAGTGGCAAAGACTACTTAAAGGGAGCGTATATATTAGGTCCTTGTGATTCAGCAGAAAGGGCAAATTAAGCGATTTCCCCAATGTCTCTCCTCTAATGCAGGACAAGGGGGCCCGACCCCGCCCCGCCCAAACCCATAGGGGGCTGTGCTTTTCAATAACGTAGAGCGTGGTACATGCCCAGGCCGTATTTTGTCTGTTAGAGCTTTCAATACTGGTAGCAGGTCTGACAAAGGGGTTCGATGGGGGTATCAGCCAGAGGGGCCTCCACGACAGTGGCAGGGCTGGACTGGGAACGGGGTTCCCCAGAGCCCACCTGGACACAGGAGGTCCCTCAGCCCTGGTCTCCACTGCGCAGGGGGCATTCGAGAGAGCAGCTGAGCTCCAGACCCTGGGCCTCCTGCGGCGCCAAGTCGGGGGAGAGGAGGCCCCAGGCCCCTGCTTCGGGTCGCCATGGCAACGAGCCCTGGAATGCCACAGTGGTAGCCCTCTTCCTCGGCACATCCGGACTCCCAGTTCTGCTGCTTCAAGTCAATGTAACACAGCAAAGGGAGGAACCCCGGAGGAGAATAACCACTCCCTTCTTCCCTTCACCATTGCCTTCCCCCTTTACCAAAAAGAAAAAAAAAAAAAAAAAAAAAAAAAAGAAAAGAAAAGAAAACTGCATGTTTGAAAGAAACTACAGGCAGTTTTTGGTGCAATTTGGGAGCAACTATTTTGGGTTCTGGTTTCCTCTTCAGGGATGTGTTCGCCTCTTGTAAATCGTTGGCTGCTTTGACGTTGAACTTGATGACATTTCATGTTTTCGTTGTGCTGCTTTTACATCAATTTTGAGTTTTTGTTTCTTTATAATTTTATTATTATTTTAAGGAAATGTCCCCCTTCCCTCCTCCCTCCCCTGTTCTCCTCAACCAAAGGACTGTTTCCTACTCAGTTTTCTCAGTCATAAGGGAAAGTGTTTCCTTCCAGGTGTGTCCCAAGTTTATTAGGACTACCATACGATTGGGATCGGGTAGCGGGTCTGGGTCCTCTGTGGGGAAGGCAGGGAGGGAGGCATGGGAAAGGTACTCAGGGGGCAGAGATTTGGGGGGAGGGGACAGAGTTTGAAATCATGTTTAAAGATGCCAGTGGCTCAACCTGTGGTTGATTTAAGTTATAATTTTAAAGAGCTAGTTAGAGAACAGAAAATCACTGGGCCAAGTCACACCTGTACTTTTTTTTTTTTCCCCTTCCTCTGTCTCCAACCTCCTTCTAGGTTCTTCACACACCCCCATTCGGCGTAGTACCCAGAGAGCTCAAGATGTGTGGCAGTTTTCGGATGGAAGCTCGAGAGCCCTTAAGTTCTGAGAAAATTTGAAGTCCCCAGGGGCGGGGTGGACGCGTGCTGCCCAGCCGACATCTGCGTGGCCTGTCATCCTGCTAGTTTGTGATGTTTTCCGACAGTAGCCTCCAAGAAGCCGTTGTGCGAAGACAGAGTCCTGCAGAGTCCTTCCTGCCCAGGCCTGCAGTGCCATTTTATTTATATTTTTTAAAAAAAAGTAAAAGCAAAAAAACAGACCCACATTGGAACGGTGAATCAGTCCCATATAGAGGGCCCATGGACCATTGCTGTCCTGAGTGACGTCCTGGCCCTTTTGAA